TGTACACAAATAAAATATTTCATGTACAATTATTTTTAAGACAAAAAAATTAAAAAATTACATAATTTTTTTGAAACCAATCAATTTAAAACTTACAATTTTGGAAATGAGTTAAATTCAACGATGGCCACCTAACGTTATATTTAGTGTCACCACAGCCATTCAATTCGATTTTGTTTTACCATGATCACCAAACTTTATACTTAGTGTTACCATAGCCACCCAATTTCACATGACGTTTCATTACGGCCATTCCACTTATTTTCACAATTTTCACTAATTTTAAAAGGGGTAAAATGATAACTTTGCATTAAAAATATAAATAATTTTTTAAAAAATAAAGTAAAAACTTATAAAAAAAACTTATTTTAAAAAATGGTGAAAAGAGGTTGGGTGACCATGGTGAAACGATATACGAAATAAGGTGGTTATGGTGAAACGTTATATGAAATTTGGTGGCCATGGTGAAATAAAATCAAATTTGATGATCATGATGACATTAAGTATAAAGTTAGATGATCATTGGTGAATTTAACCCTTTTGGAAATTCATGACTAGCTGCCATTTTTTTTAAAAGGTAGTTGCTTGTTTTAAAGGTAGCTTGCCTTTTTTTTTTTTTACAGGCAACTATTGTTGAAATTGGTTGTTCAAAATAATAAAATCAAGCGTGGAATGGAAATTGGGGATGGAGGCCAAAGTTTTGAACTATGCGACCGCATAGTTCAAAGGACTATGCGGTCACATAGTCCTATACGCGGACTTAATGTCCTGATTTTGAGAAACCTATGTGGTCGGATAGGCCTATGCGACCGCATAGGTCATAATTTTGGCAGTTTTTTGTCCGTTTATAGCCGTTGTCATTTTAAACTTGGTGACTTTTCATCCTATTTTGGCACCATTCCGTGGACAACTCTTAGTGCTATAAATAGGTGATCCCTACTCATTTGAGAAGAATTGAAAAATTAATATTGCAACTTTATTTATTCCATAGCAATAGAAATCATATTTTCTTCTTCATATTCAAAACCCCTTTGTGTTCTTCAAGTTTGGGTGGAAAATATTTGTGCTTTGATATTTTCTGCAACAAGGCTTGATCAATCCTTCAAACCATTTGCCAAAATCCTTAAGCATCTCAATTAATTGGAGTGGGGACAAACATAGTTTGAGGACAGTGATTACACGTTTGGGCCTTTTATTTTGATTCCGGTTTATTTATATTGTTGCTGCACACTTTTGTGAGTTTCTTCTCCAACCCCGGTGGTATTTCCAACAATCTCAAACTATACTTCTTGCGATGGAGAGTGAAACAACAATGGCGACTATCAAGTTGATAAATCAAGATTTAGTCCGTTTGGAAACAACTTCACGCGGTGGCAAGACAAGATCAAATTCCTACTAACTACATTGAAGATCTTCTACATACTTGATCCAGAATTGGCATCGTTACCGGAACCAACACAAGGAGAAGCCGAGGCAATAAAGGCTAAACGACAAAAGCGCTAAGAAGATGAATTGATATGTCGTGGTCATATCCTCAACACATTGTCGGATCGCTTGTATGATTTATACACCAACACAACATCGGCAAAGAAGATGTGGGATGCTCTAGAAAGTAAGTACAAACAAGAGGAAGAAGGTACTAAGAAGTTTCTAATCTCGAGGTATTTCGATTTTAAATTTCTAGAAAATATTCCATTACTTCAGCAAATCCATGAACTACAAGTGCTTGTCAACAAGTTAAAGGCGGTGAAGATTGAAATCCCGGAGACCTTTCAAATAAGGGCTATAATTGCTAAACTCCCCAAAACTTGGAAAGGATACCAGAAGAAAATAATGCATAGTTCCGAAGATTACTCTTCGGAATAATTGCAAAAAACATTTACACATTGAAGAAGAGTCAAGAATGAGAGATAAGAATGAAAATTCTTATGAAGGCACTTCTAAGACCAATGCGGTGGAGAAAACTGAACTGGCTGTGAAATCTAACAAGAGAAAGCCTTCTATGAACTTCAATAAGTTCAAGAAGAAGACCAAAGGAGGGTGTTTTGTGTGTGGAAAACCTGGGCACTATGCAAAGGAATGTAGACACCGGAAACAAAACAATTTCGAGGGTAAAGTGAATTTCATCAAAGAAGATAAAATTGTG